GAACCCAACCTACTTGTTTTTTTGTAGGTGCAGTATGACTTCCTCTCCGTTGGCTTTGATTCCATACTCCATCGTGTCATCGTATTTTGTCTGTAAACAGATTTAAGTGTTAGAATATGGACTGTTACAATTTCTGGCCTTGCTATAAACTGGCTGTTACTGAGTTGCCAATGGCATTCTTTTCCCTCCTCTTCCCACCAAAAATAAGCGTTCTGGCAGTTACAGAATAAGCAGAAGGTCACTCTGTTTCACATTTTTTAATTAGAAGAACAAATTTAACTTTGCAAATGTATTTCTGCAATCATAAGCACACACCCTGCATATTTGGGAAAGTGCTGAAGCGGATGCTTAAATTCAAACATTTTCATAACTCTCTTGAAGTATGGAAGAGCGTGCTTAGTTTAAAGCATTTGATTTCATTTAGTTCAAATCCAAATGTCCACAGGTTATTCAAAATCTGCGTAGCATCAAACCTACATCTTTGCAGAGATACAAGCACAGGAGACCCTCTGATGGCAGGCAGGTACTTCGCCGCATGCTGGGCACACCTCAGCCTGTCTGTACCAGGAATGGGATCGCTCTTCCAGGTTTTCTCTTTCATTTCATATTGCAAGATCAAGTGTCTGACTCCAAATTCTCTTACCTTTGAAAACCAAGGGTACTCTGACTCCAAAAAACTTTCCCCATCTCCCAGAAAACAAAAAAAAAAAATGTCATTGCTTTTAATACCTCTTTGTTTCTTTCTACATCTCTTTTATGTACTGTGTGCAATTTCCGTGGATAAACTATTTCATATTGCTCAACTCCAGGTAATTTCTTGCTCGTGCTCCCTAGGGAGAAACAGATGGATATTTATGAAAACACAGTATTAACTTATTTAACACCCTATTTCATGTCTGTCAAGACCGATTCTTTCGGGGTCTGTAGTCGTTCATCTGTGACACCACTCATTTCTCATGTATTCTCTGCACTGGCTCTGGCATGTGCTCATCTGGGGCTGCTGAGCAGTCACCCCCATTGCGTGACCTAACGCAAGGTTTCTTGCAGTCTGGACTTCAAGTGAGTTGACATACCTGGCTATTTCCAGGTGTCAAAATACTTTATGCAATTCCCTTTGGATTTTCTTTCCCCAGCACCGACCGGCCGTTTCGAGTACCAACATGCTAGAACAGCTACGCAAGGTGCAACCTTTGCCTTCATGTTTTGCAGATGACATGAATCAAGTTACACGGTTCTGTGAAATTAGTGACCTCCAAACCGTATCGCATGATGACAAACAAGTTCAGACTGCCTCTAGATAAGCAAATAAACTCATACAATCCACCACAAGTCTGGAACAAGCCTAGATTTCTGCTTTAGAAAGCTCTTCAGATGGCCTTCTCGCCTCAGTACTTGTGATGGTACTTTGATAGACACGCTCTTACCCATCGAATCGGATTGAGGGTGGTTACAGACTTGTGGCAGCAGGACTGGAGAAGGCATTTGAACAAGGCTAGGTAAAATCATAGGAGATAGGCAGTAAAGTAGGAAAATCTCAAAGGTGGTAAGGAATCCAGGTGATTCCTTAGCTTGCATAACCCTTTTTGCTGGTCTTGAAAGGTGTGTTGTGCATCTGCAGTGGCTATAAAGAACTCGTTGAGGAAATACAGTGCTGATGAAAAGTGTTTCTTTTTTGTTTTCTGCTTCTGAGCCCGAGTGAACCTTGACAAAAGCTGATTTACGGCATGACTTGCAGGGGTGGTCAGCACACGGCGCATCATTTGAAGTTAATAATAGCAGCTGGCGTACAGCATTTGGGAAAACAGGGTCGTACGAGGGATGTGTTAGTTTCCAGCAAGGCAATGGCAGGTTTTATATCCCTCCTAAGCTCTTTAATCTCCTACAAAAGGTCATTTCATCTGAATTGGCAAATTCTTCAGGGCTCAGCACCAAGCACAAGAGCCTGTCTTGGAAAAAAAAAACCCAAACCACAAACAACAAAGGGAGAGTGCAACTCCCACTTTAATTGTCTGCCTCAAGGCCAGATTTTTATGAGAGTGGGGCGTCCAATTACTGTAATTTTCTATATCTGGAACAGCAGAGCACATCCTCGTGCAAATTGTTCCAGTAAAATAAACAGATTAATTCTTCATAACTGGTTTAGTTGATTAAACCCTTTCCAAAAATAATTGCAGAATAAACTTGGTTGCATCTTGACAAAGCTGAGTGCTGTAGAGGAAGGCGTGGTGTAATGGTAATAAGTCCTAAGAAGTTATCTTACATCAGCTGAGCCATTACACAGCAACTAACCATGCACATGCGGTTAGCAAATACCAACTGCGCGTTTGTTACTGTAATTTACAATGATGGTTTATATTACATTTTAAGCAACTAATTATGTTTACTTTTAAAAAAATCTTTTGCTTTGCAGACTTCGTCCTTCCATGAGCTTAAAGCACGTTCTTACATAATGGTCACAGTAATACCTTAGGCCTCTCGGAGCAGAGTCCTGTGCTCCCATTTTATTTATTCACTCCCTGTTGCCGACTCTTTTTACAAGGCCAACTGTAGCCCAGATGGTTCAAGTTTAGGCTAGGCTTGAATGGAGACTCAGAACTAAACTTATTCTTTTCCTGCGGTGTGATACCAATAGCATTTCGAGGAAAACGGGTTGGTTTTGTTCTGGAACAAATCGTTTCCTAGAGGTAGTTTCTTAAATCAACTTGGTATATTGTCTTTGCCTTGCTTCAGGCATTGTCTTGAGTCAGGAGCTTTAAGGAGGAAAAAAATTCCTTGGGCTTTGTACAATGGCTGGAAAAAGTGCTAGTAAGGACCAAATAATGATATACTTTTCCAAGAGCCTAAACCTGTTGGTGAGGAGTTTATTGATGATGAAGGTTTGGTTTTGTCAAGAAACAAAATATCTAATGCCCTAAGCATTAGTACTGTACATATTTTCAGATATTCTGTGCAACTAATAAAATCATAAAGATATCTGCCTGAATACAAATGACATGTCTAATTATGTATATAAATTGCATGTCTAATTATGTACATAAAACCCGTGCATGCTTGTGCATGCCAAGCTCTGAAAAAATCTGTTCCCTGTTGACATGAATTGAGAGAAACAATGCACGTGGAAAAAAAGCGTGGTCTGTTAAGGTTAAGTTGTATGAATACTCATAACCTGAAATATCACAGAGATAATAAGGGTGTTAACTATCTTAATTCAGGTAATTCCATTAATTGAATTCAAATAAAAGTCTTTTCTTTTATGGCCAAAATGCTGTCAGGGTAACAAGTCGTCCCAATTGGATAAATTGTCTGCTTACTTTCAGGGGAAGTACTTTCTTAACTGGTTCACAAAACGGACTGGTTCTGGGTCTTTAGGCAATCTGTGGCCAGCTTTCACACAAGTAAATAATTCTCTACCCAGAGAATTTTAAATAATTGCTTTGAACAGAAAGGGATGGAAGCAAACAGCCCTAACTTCAGCAGTATCATTTTTTTTCAACGCCTCTAATTCACTGCTCCTCAGTATTATCTACATGTTAATAATTAAAAATTCATAAAAGCCGTACGAAGTTTTCCATAACAGCCACTGATAAAGGATATATAAAAAAAAAAAAAACAAACCAAAACCACTGTACCTTGTTGGAGAAAATGTAGCAAAACAGCAGAAATAAGAAGCACATTAGTCATCTCCGCTGGTCTTGCCTAGCAATGGTCTCCGTGGTCTGGGAAAGCCGGGTTCCCAGGCTGCCCCTGCTTTGAGCAGCCCTCTCTGGTGCAGTGAATGAGAGGGAGGGAGTTGTTCAGCTGTGTTCTTGTTCCTATATGAGGAAGTGTTTGCTAAAGGTGTTGCACAATTTTCAAGTCACAGACTGTTACAGCAAGCGGAAGTTCCTGCTGGTTGGTTCATGTCACACGGATCGTGATGTATTGATTACTGCTTTGAAATAAGTTCCCTAAAACTGTTCATCAGGAAAAACAGAAATAAACAAAGAAAGAAAGAGGGAGATTGGACTGGTCCTAATGTTGTCTTCTTACGGTCTGGCTGGTAAACAGCTACAGTAGGAACAGTGGGTGCCACTGGTGGCACGAGGAATGGGAAAGTTTTCAAGAGGTTTAAGTTAAAACAGAGACTCGCAGCTGGTGTTAAATACGTGTTTCAGTTCTTGCCAATTACCATCTCATGTGTACGGAAGCGACGGGTTTAAGAGCACCAGGAAAAGCGTGTGTAATTCTGTATCTGTGAATCACATCCAGAACACAAACACTGAGCAGGTCCTTTTCTGCCCCTTCCATCCATATTAGTAATGTTTGCTTGAGGTTCATGTGATACTGTCTAAATAAAGCGGGCTGCAGACAAATGAGCCATCAAGGTGATATGTGTTGAATAATATACTAAAAATCTATACTAGAAGCTTATCACATTGACTAAGCCAGTTGTAATAAAATAGGACTATGTGCTTCTTGGGGCCATGGCTATCGGTAGAGAACCGCTTTATAGAAGTTGGGCTTCTCACAGTTAGAATAGGTATTAGAGAGTACGTAGAACTAGAATGCGTCGTGCTGTATACTGCAGATATGGGCATAAATTTATATCAGCAATACACATTGCACAGTAATATATGTCCTCATGTATTACATTCATTTATAAATATATCTATATAAATCTTCAGGAGAATTTTTACCACTGTAACTAAGTAACAGAAGTTTACACTTGTAGTAGAAGTTTTATTGGGTGCCTATTGCTATCTCGAGTCTCAGGTAGGTGTTGATAAGTTCTGATTTTCTGAACATTGAAATCTGAAATCATAAATACAGACTTGCCCTTAGATTTTGCTAAATCTCCAGACATTCTGGGACAGATTGGGAGCTACCAACAAATGGGCTCTGCGCTTCTTTAAGGATAGAATGGTACTTCTAATTAAAAAGAACTTATGTGCAATGCTGATTGCAGTAACCAACTTCGGTGGTGAACTTGATTCTTGATAGTAAACTTGATTACTTGATAGTAAAAGTTGATTCTAAGGCAAGCCTGATTATCTGTGTCTCTTTGTTTTGTTTAGCCTTTGCCAATGAGGCAAAGTGATTTTAAAACAGGTGTAAAACGCTGCTGAACAGAAGCAGGAGAGCTTCGCATCCCTCCGCATTGCTTTGCAGTGGTGGGGGTGATGGAGAGCAGTGCACCCCAAGCACATTGCTTCGCCTTCAGCTGCTCGGAAGGATGCTGGGCTGGATGCTCATACAAACCCTGCGTGCAGCTTCTCTTGCCATTTAGCTCTTGGGCCTTCCTTTGGCATTTGTGTTTTATGAATCATTTATTCTGGTCTGTTGAAGAGCGTGCTCTGCTTTGGCAGAAGCAGGACGCTTTCACAGGGGATATGGAAGTGTACAATACTCCTTTACATTGCCTGGCCTCCAAGCTTGCTCCACTGCCTGCTCCACTGTGTTCTTCATGAGTAATGTTGGATTTGAATGGTCTCTGCAAGTGTTTGAGAGCCCCCGGAGCAGGGTTTAGTGGCAGGAAGAGGGCCCAAGAGAGGAAAAGGGCATCTGTCTGCCAGAGTCCTGGTAACTACCCTCAAACCTCCGCTCTGTGTAGGACTGGAACCCAGGAGATCTGGTGAGCTGCACCGTAACTCGGGTCAGTATTAATCTCCCACCTGCTGTTAGAACATCACTAATTTTAGCTAGCGCTGTGCTCTAACAAGGGACACCTTCCTAGGTGGCCCTTCCATCTCCCCCATGTGCCTTGGGAGCTGAGCCTTCCCAGGACACAGGGGCAACCTGACACTCCTGGGACAGGAATGCTTTTTGGTAGCAACCTCTGTGGGACATTATAGCTGGGAGACAGAGCGAGCTTACGTTCTGTAAGAGAAGTCACATACCGCACCAAAGCGTGTCGCCATCCCGGGTTATGAAAGAGCACTTCAGGCAAAGCATTCGTGAAGTGTGGTTGTGAAGGCTTTGGACATACCGCCATCAAGGTGTTCATTTCAGTCGCAGCGAGCATCAGAGAGGAGCTGTGAAATTTAATTTATGCCAGTGTCTTTTGAGTTCTGTAAAGATAAAGCTTTGTCTAAAAGGTAGACAATTTAGTATTTTAAATGTTATATGAATGGAAATAAGCAGTGCATTCTTGGACTACATCTTTGCCTTGCAAAAATAATTAAGAAAAATAACTGTGAAGAACTGGTTTTAAAAATGAGTGGCTGCTCTCCAAGCATTTATCTCAGCTCATTCTCTCTGCGTGACGCACTTGAAAACCATGTACTGACCCCACCGATCTCCTAAGCTAATGTTCTTAATAAGCTGTGCTTTTGAACAGTATGGAAAGGAGAGTTACTTTATGAATAGACACAACATCCCAACAAAGAGCTGGCATTAAGAAGGGGATGTGATGTGGTGAAGGTCTTGGGTAGACTTGAAAGGGAATTGGATGTAATTTCCTTTTGTGAGTTGAGAAGCATTTGATGTGTCTGCCCTTGCTTCAGCGATTCTGTAATAGTCTGATTGTAGCTTCTTCCCCCGGAGGTGGTCAAAGAGGTATCTGCGAGGTCTCAGCTGACGGGAAAGCTGCTTCTGGCTTTTTGAAACTCCTTACCGATTGTGCAATGTCTAAGTGAGCAGTTTTAATACTTGTGGGGGCGTAAAGTTGGAGGACGAAGTTTTTCTCACTATTTAATAACTAGAATATCAGTATTTTTAACTCAAGTGCTTTCTGCTTACTTAAAAGAAAGAAGCAGAAGAGGGTGAAACCCACCCCTACGCTGAGGCTCTGCGCAAATACAGCCTGCGTGAGATTAAACTGAGTGTTAAAAGTTAAACGATGGTTGTATGCTTGGGCATTAGACTGAGCTCAGGAAAAATCAAGGTTCGAATCACTTCTCTGCTTCTGCCTTGTCCTAACGTTGACTTTGAACCAGGTTTGCGAAGGTACTATTGCACCTAACAGGAATTTTCAAGAGTGTATAAACAACGTAGGTATCTGTTTCCGCTGCACTTCAAGAGATGGATGTTCAGCGCAACAGTAAGGAAACCCATAGAACCACTACAGACAGAGATAAGCAGTTGAGAGAGATAATTTTGTCCTTCTGTGTATCTGCATTTGCCCCCTTCTGCGTTCCCCCCGTCTAACCCCGGGACAGCGTCAGCAACCAGCTCAGCGGCTCTGCCTCTCTGTCCACATCCTCCTGGGAGAACGTTCAGGGGAGGCATGTGGTATTGCACAGGCAGCTGCCACCAGACCAACCATGGGTCTGTTGGTTCAGCTCAAATAGTAACCTGCCTTCCGCCTTCCTCCATTTGCTCTTCCCCAAGCTTTACCCCAAGCCAGCCTGCAGGTTATTTTTCTCCGACTTACAAACAAAACCATGTGGCTTTTGCATCTGCGTTCCAGCCCTCCGCTCCTGTTTGCTTCCTCCGTCTATTCGCAGCTGCATTCCAGTCTCCCCACAACCTGTCTCTCCGTGCCAGCCCCGGGCCCTTCCCCTCCATTTCCAGAGCTGATCCAAAACCCATTGAAGTCAACAGAAGACCTTCTATTGCCTTCCAGGGCCCTTGGAGCAGCTCTACAGTTCCTCTTTAAAACCTACTCCTTACAGAAAGCTTCTTCTTCTGCTTGCCTCTGTTGTCTCACACATTCCCAATGTGAATTATTCTTCTTTTCCTCAGCTACCAGTTTTTAATGCTTTGCCCTTCTTATTTTCTGGGTTGCTGTTGAAGCATAGAATCAGATGGCTGCTTCGGACCTAGTCCAAGTGTTTGGAAAAGTTACCTGCCTTCTAGCTGTTAGTTAGCTGCTCCTCAGCTTATGTGCAGCACTTGGCTACGTTTGCGTTGCCGGCGTTTAATATAAAGTAAAATGCTTTCACCTAAGCTGTGATTGAAACTAACTTAGTGAGCACCAGACGGGCTATTTTTGGTGTGGTTCTCCTCAGATCACAGGCTGTCATCTGATTCTGACTAACGAAACCTCATTACGAGCTTTTTACATCTCTGTCGCCCTTTTTGCCTTGGAGAAGATCATAGACATATACGGTATGTTACAAGTATGTTGCTTCCCTCTTCCTTTTTCTTCAAAAATATATAACAAAAAATAGTTACTTCATCTTCCTTCTATATCCCGCTCTCAGCTGCAGTTTTCTTAATTCTCCCGCACCGATGTAATGTAGTATATGCAGTGGCAATCCAATGCAGACTGTAGGTAGTTAACTGAAGGTACCAGGCCCTTCAATATACATCTCAAGAACTACTTCACGTGATGTAAGGTGATTTTTTGAAGGTTAATGCTTCTTAGAAAACACTTGCAACCCCCATTTCTGGCTGTGCTGTACGTTGTGCAACTGTGTGCACACGTTCAAGCTGTTTAATGTTCTCCTTCTATTGTGAATTAAACACTGTGGTCTTAGCTCCTTTTTTTTTTTTTTTTAAGGTGTTGTTTATTGTATTATTTATACAGTACGTGAGGTCTAGCTCAATTTGGCCAAGAGATGGAGGAATCCTGCATGCTACAACGTGGTATCAGGCACGATTCTCTGCTGGCTGGCATCCATCCGGGGCTCTGTTTGCCGCGCACCAGGGCAAAGAGTGGCTCCATTCTTAGAGCTGGGAGGGAGCTCTTAGGATTCCTCACGAGGAATTCTTAGGAGGGAGAGGCACCACCCAAGACTGTAGACCTACTAGGCTGTGTTAGAGCTGTGCAAGGCACGGTGTGTGCATGACAAAGAACGGATCCACACCTTAGACCTTCAGGAACTGAACCTCATCTCTGCCCATCCTCTCCATCCTTCACCCCTGTGTTGCC